AAGAAAGAAAGAAAGAAAGAAAGAAAGAAAGAAAAAGAAGAAAAGAGGGAGGGAGGGAGGGAGTGAGTCTGCAGTCATTTGCCAGCCTCTAGTATTATAGTCTAAATTGTATAAATATATTTTCTAGAATTTCTGGAACTTGTTAATGACTTGGCAAAATTTCTGAATATATTTGTTTCAGATGTAGCTTTTCCTGCTTTTTGCTATGTGCAGTTTTAATCTGTATTAGGTTAATAATAAGTGTATATGTTAATGCTTAGTGCACAGGACTCAAGATAGTGCTACACCTTAGATCTGGGGTAAAAAACCAAGGGTCTTCCACATGTTTTGGACTGCAACTCCCATCAGCCCTAACTAGCATAGTTAGTTAGTTGACTTATTTATTTATTCACTTAAATGCTGCCTGACTTCAATTACCCCTGGATGGCTCACAGATAAAAAACAAAACAGCAAACATGCAATCAAAAGAATAAAACATATAACTACAAGCAACATGATGAATCCCATCAGCAATAAACATAGGCACCCAACAAGGGGCTTCAACACTCCTAGCCCAAAGTCTGGAAGAAGAGCCAGGTCTTTAAAGCCCTTCCGAATCTCATTCCAGAGGGCAGGTGCTATCCCAGAGAAGGCATGTTTCTGGGGTCCCATACATGGCACTGTTTAACTAAAGAATCTGGAGTGTGCCAACTCTGTCGGATCAGACCATCCAGGTTAATTCTATAGGAGATAGACCATCCCTCAAGTTATCAGGCTCTTTGCCATGTAGGGCTTTATAGGTCATAACCACACCTTGAATCGTACCTGGAAGCAAATTGGCAGCCCTTGCAGCTCATGAAGCAGGGGTGTCACATGGGCATACTGTAGCATGTCCATCACTGTTGCTGCATTCTGGACCAGTTGAAGCTTCTGAGTGATCTTCAAGGGTAGCTCCACGTAGAATGCATTATAATAATTGAGCCATGAGTTGACTAGGACATGAGAGACCATCTAGATCTAGGAAACAGTGCAACTGGCATACCAGATGAAGCTCTGCAAAGGCCATCCTGTCCATATCTGCCATTTGCTCATCAAGCATGAGCTGTGAGCCTTGGAAGACCCATAGATTGCACACTACTCTTGAATGGGGAAGTGCTATCTCATCCAAGTTAGAGATGGAATATCCCCAGATCTAGATGGTCCAACAGTCACAACCAACTGGTCTTGGTAGGATTAAGTCACAGATAGTTTCTCCCAATCCAGACCCACATAGCCTCCAGGCATGGGACAGGACTTGGACAATCTCATTTGGCTGGCCTGGGGTCAAAAAATGTGATTGGGTATTACCAGCATACTGATGATACCAGACCTCAAATGGTGAATGATTTCATCCAGCAGTTTCATGTAGATGTTCAATGGGGGTGGGGTGGGGTGGGGTGGGGGGAGAGTCAAGGCCTGCAGTACCCAGCAAAAGAACGGTCTAGGGAGTAAGGCATTATGGAAATTATAGTCAAAAAATATCAAGAGACACCAGCTTATCTAGTGTTACCTTAGATGAATTCGTACTTTCTGGCCAGTGCCTCCTAACATGTCAGTCTGCTTCCAATAGTGGGAGTAGCTCAGCAGAAGTGGGATTTTTTAACTTACTTTGGAAAGGTGCATTAAAAGTCTTATGCCAGCTGCCAATCTACAGTTCTCTGTGTCCTAACAGCACAATTATGACCCATATCATTTAATACTACTTTAGAGATACTGCTAAGAAAAAGAAATGTTGATTTACCAAATAGAAAGGAAAAGGAATTGGATCCATTCCCATTCTGAATCTCAGTCACTAAATAGATCTAATCCACTTAAGGAGCTCCCTGTCTCCGATCTGCCGACATTATTTGGCTGCAGTTTTTCTCCCTGAGCACAATCTTTTCCTTTTGAGGTTGATGCTAATCCTCATTCTGCTATAGTCCTTAAACTAATAAAAGATTAGAGTGACATTTCCAAAAGGGCATCACATTAGCAGCAGCTTTCACCATCTCAACAGATCACATGGTGCAACAGACCATTAGTGAGCAAGCCATTAATCTTATGGTAATGAAGGGTACAGGAATAATGAGGACACTGATTCTTAGTGCCACAGGTAACTTTGCCAGGCAGGAGAGGCTGAATATAACGCTGTGATATCAGAAACAGCCCCTTGTCACTACAGCATTCTTCAAGCAACAATAGAGAACAGGCACCTACTCTGATCTGTCACCGTATGTGTTGTCTGCAACTAATGAGCCTTCTCCTATGTTCTAATTAGTGGCATAAAACTGCTTTAACTACTCTGCCTATGCTATAACGTGGAATCAATTAGGATTAGCTGCAAAATAAAGAGTCTGTTTTCATGGCTTTCCCACCAGGCTATAATCACTGGTGAAAGTAACCAACAAAAACCCTTATGATGGTTAGACATACTTGCTCAGATCTAATGACAGCCCTTTCAGTTATACTACAGAGTTTGCTGAAGCCAATGTACTGCCTAATTAGTCAATACACCATCTAGCATTGAAAGAAGCTTCCTGAATTTGATTCTATTCTCTTGCATATCATGCAGCTCTAAAAGAAACAGATGGCAGCGCCAAACTGAGCTAATTACCCATCCTTCCTGATTTCTTGTGTATTAATACTTTTCACATGAAAATCTGAGACTCTATAAGCAGTTTCCTGTTTCTCCCTACTTAAACCACGATCCTTTTAAATATTATGATGTAGGGCAGGGGGTTCCCTTTTGAAAAGAAGGTGCTTTTGTAAGTTTCTATAGGGCACCATATATTGCCAGAACCTTGGGTACTGAAAAAGAAGGCCCACTGGATCAGTTTCTTAACTTTCAGAGTGTCTTCACTGATATTATGGGGTGCTTTCAAATAAGACTATTATTGTGCAGTGTCCTGCTACATTCATGAAATGTTATGGGAAAACTCCACTGTCATCTTCTATTTGTAGCCCAGAAAGGTCTTCTTGCACTTTCAGACTTTCTTCTTAGCATTTTTAAAACTATGTTAAAGAGGGAAAGTCAGAATAGCTGCAAAAGACCTCTGGATTAGGCAGTGCTAGGAACCATTCATTAAAATGTATTCACTGTGTTGCTGAGAGTTTGCCACAGGTACACAGTTAAGCTCCCCAGAGAAACAATTGTAAACAGTTGGATATGACATAGAGTTTTATTATTTGCTTTTCACTGCTGATTCCTTCTCTCCTTGGATGACTGCTATGCAATGTATTCTATATTTTTTTGTGGAGTGAGCCACTCTGGGCTTCTTTGAGAACACAGATGGCACATTGTGCATTTGTACCAGAAGAGTGGGATAAACTTGTTTCAAATGAAAACAGAAATGAAACAAACCACACACCAGCCTGAATTGAGCTTTTCTCCATGAACATAATACACAGAAGTTTGAGAATGTGCATAACTCAGTCACGTGTGTGTAAGGAAGCAATCAATTTGTTTTGGTGAGTAGGACTGATATGAAAAGTGCTTGTTTGTAGGATCTGATGACCACCAAGTGCTTCAAGAAAAACAGTTTTTTAATTGCACCAAGTAATAGCTTTGTTGCTTTTTAAAAGGCATTCACTCTGGATGTGGCTTGGCTTCCTTGTGAAGTCATTTACTACAATTTGCTCTACGGTCATCTTCTGCAGTGCACATGCTGTTTACGACAGTAGCAGCGGGCAATCTGGGGAAGAAGCCAGGTGGTGAATTCAGGATTTATCAACTGTCTCTTGGCCCCAAAGGAAAGACAATTCAGACTCCCAATAATAATAATAAAAAAACCTAGACAATGTGGTGTACAATTAAATGTGTCATATCTTCTCCAGTTTCAAACATGACCTACATGAACTGATCTACTTCTCCACAGGAAAGTAGATTTGGATTAGCTATTCAGAAGAATTTCTTATAAGAACTGTCAATTGAGGGGTATAGGCTGCCTCATGGTGTTATCTTTTCCTTTGCTGTAGGCTGTCAAACAAATGCTGGAGAGCCATCTGTCCAAAGTGCTTTAGCAGATCATGTATCAAGTGGTGAGCTGGGTTAGATGACTTCTGAGGTCTTTCCAACTGTATGATTCTTGGAGTCTTTGAATTCAACTGAAAACAATTAGTTTCTAACACTTTCTTTGAAAATGATGAAGAAGAAAGAATCAAAATGTACCCTTAGGACAGAATTGAGCTTTTACAGTAGTATGATATTGGCAAAATAATGAAATGAAGGTCTTTTATTTATTTTTCCCCTTGATTAGTGAGGGTGAGGATTGCTTCCCTTGCTAATTTTTCCACTGCCTCTTGTTCTAGAACCTGGTAAGGAAAGTGACATCCAAAGCAGAAAACATATAGTCTAAAAATGGTAAGTAATATTATTATTAAGATGGTGCTACTTTCTGACTAATTCAGACTTACCTGTATATAGTTGTGGGTGGAGCATTCAATGTGTCATAGATAAGCCTCACGTGACCTTGATACAATTCTAAAGCCAGGGGATCATTGTCCCCTTTGTATAATAAGATGCCATTGTCTTTATCTGTTGCGACCTTTGAATGTCAAAGGAAAGAAGATTAATAGTGATAGAAAAACAGGCAAAGATGTATATTCCGGTACTGTAATGTTAACTATGCATAATTTTAAAAAAAGAGATAACCAAGGATTTCTCCCAAATTCACTACATTGTCATTCAGTAAGGAAAATGGGTCTATGACACCCATAGAAATTCCAATAGGAACTTCTGTGTACAATGAATTTATTTATTTATTTATTTATTTATTTATTTATAACATTTATATAGCCACCCATCTTATATAAAATTCTGGGCAGCTCCCAGTATTAGGATGTATGTAGGTTACGCTACTGTGATATAAATCATAACTTTCTCCATAGAGCTTTCCTTGTACAAGTGCTCACATTTAATAAATGGAATAGTGACATTATTAGTCATATCAGAAAGATAGCTGGTATACTGGATTATGGGAGTGACTGTCTGTGTCAGAGAGATACCCCTCAAGTCAGTTTTGAAGAGAGAAGGTTGTGACCATATGGAGCTTGTCATGTTGAATGACTGCAGTGCGTCCAAGGCTAAGCTGGAAATTCTGAACGTGTTTGTTCTTAGTTTTATAGTCCACCTTCTTGCTTAAAAAGCTCACATGCTAGCTATCAGAAGTGTTTTAAAGATATAACTCAAACATATTTTTCAAAAATATATCCCATAACTTTTATAAATCCTCAGTGTTACTTAAGAACTTTCTTCCCCAGCTACAAGTGATTTAGATGTAACATAATACTTTTCTAGAAACTTTATTGAAACATGGACTCCTTATAAACACAGCAGCCTTCAAGTGAAAGAATTTAGTAATTTTACAGTTTTTATAATCTGCCCAAATGGAAAGACTTAGGTGTGCGAGTGTGATGAGTTACAACACATTAAAACGTATATAAAATAACAATAATAAAGCAACCCTCCACCAAGATAGGTTTTTTTGTGTATGTGCTTTCAAGTCAGTCTTGACTCCTGGTGACTACCTGGACAAGTCCCCACAGTTTTCTTAACAAGATTTTGGAAGTGATTTGCTCTTGCCTGCTTCCTAGGGCTGAGAGAGTGACTGGCCCAAGATCACACAGCTGGTGAGTCTAGAATTCAGTTTTCTGGTTTCTAGCCTGGTGCTGTAACCATTACACCAAACTGGCTCTAAGACAGACATTAGTAATATTTAAATAGGGTTGAGGGCTCAGTGAAAGAAAGCTACTTTCAGAGGCCTTTTACAGTAAATGCCATGAGTTTGGGGCTTTAAGATCCTCTGGGTTAGGGTTAGTAATCAGAATTCCTTGTGATTCCTGAACTTGGGAGAATTATTGTCCATTCAAACTATGCTTTATCGTTTGTTCTCAAGCCATATTTGATGCACTATTTTTAAAAATTGTTTTATATATATTCTCTCATTCTCTCTCTCTCTCTCCATATATATATGTATATATATATATAAAACTAAGCACCATTTTGCTGATGTAGTAGAAAACTTTAGCTAGTTTAAGAACAGAAGCCAAAGTTTCAAGTCACATCCACTGTATTTCTACTAAGAAAGAAACACTAGGAATAGTAACATCTGACCCGGAAGTTGTATTAAGCATGCTAAATCAGGACTTCCTATTTTTCACTTTGGAGAAACGAAGCAGTTGGTGAGGCCTAAATGGCCATCCTTCAGAAATTATCCCTCATTCAGCTGACTTTGGCCCTCAGAGATGCTATTTGTTGCAAATAGTCCCAATAAAGGCAAGAAGCTGAGGGAGGATGTAATTTCTGATATGGAAACTGCCAGATTGGGGTTCTGTGTAGTCTGTTTTCCTTCAATATAAAATAAGCTTTATTACTCAAACTACATTATTAGACCTAATAGCTGTATACAGACAGTGGCATATCTGCAGGGCTGAAAGAGACTGAAGGACATAGATGTGGACTAGCGCTGTGCATGTTTTGAAAATGATTCATAAGAAATGGTTTGGACATTGTAGGAACACAGAACCTCTCTGCTATTTTTTAAAGCAGCCTTTTTTGAAATCTTCTGGGTGAGGCTAAGCACAGATGCTTCTACTTTAAGGAATCAACTTATTAAAGTTAATGTGGCTTTTAAAATAACCTTTTTTTTTTCTTTAAGGGCCTGAAAAAAGAGTCCCTTTAATGAAAAGTGGAGGGATGCTAAGATGCTCTTTATGCTCATATGAGGTTCAAACTACTTTATACAAATCATTTTCAAAGCCTGTACACTCTTTTGGTGGACATCTGTTCTGTTTGCTACATCTTCAGGGATCTGATGGGAGATTGAGCACTTTCACCCAGGCTTAGATTCATCTTCTTTGAGACCTTCCCACTAATGTGCAAAGATAATTTCAGTGCCTTGGTATTCAATGAAGGCAAGGAATCTCTGAATCCATTTTAGATGTAAGGCAGGAGTACCCAACCTCCATCAGCTTAAGGACAGCCTTCTCCCCAAGCTTTGTGTGGCAAAGCAAAGGCCATGCTCACAAAGTGAGTAAAGCCAGGACTTATTTTTTGTGGGGACTCTGGAGTTTTAAATCATGAATTAAACCATCCTGTTAAGCATCTGCAAAACAGAAGGCTGCCATTTTGGCCCTTAATAACCCCAAAATTCCAGAAAAAACATGGGCTGGGTTTTTTGATTCCACACAATATGGAGGCCCTCTGGGAGGTCAAAAGGATGCTGGCATGCTGCACATGGCTCTGGGCCACACTTTCTCCATCCTTGTCCTAAGAGTACAAGTGACCAATGAAGTCTCACACACACACAGTACTTGTGACTAATTAAGTTAAACACACATACTTAAGGATCTGCATAATCTCTTTTAAGCTTTTTGTACAACCCCCTTACAAGCTTATATCTAATTACACCCACTTGCTTTTGAAGAAAGGTCCTGAAATTAGACCCAATAGTTCTACCAACAATAAATACTAGTTCCAATTATATCTGTCCTCTATATACTATGGCTGTTTTAAAACTGCAAAATAAATAATACTATATATACTGTATGTTATAAAAAATCATATTTTAAAAAAAAGTTTTTCCAGGCTTGTAAACTGCAAGTAACTTTTTATTTGTCAGATTTCCTTTCATTAGGAAAGATTTCTGAATCCTGTTTCAAGAGATGCTTACTTAAAACTAATTTTTTTTACATGAGTGGCAATTAACTAGCAGATGGAGAAGCAATGTTTTATCTGGAAAATAAGCTTTGAGAACACCATCTGTGTGAAATTCATGTAGTAAACAAGTCTGGCTTTCATATTATCATCCAAAATGCATTTTTATCATAATCCTTTTCTGAAATAAGCCTAAAATGTGACCTATGTAAACTGTGCCCTGAGCTCATAACTCATGTGACATATTTTACTATTTTATACATGCAGAACCAAAGAAAAATGCAGAGAAAGGGCTTTAAAAAAGCAAAATAAAATATTTTGTCTACTTTTTGTATTTCGGAGGATTGTGTGAAGAGACAAATCATAGATCTTTTACACTAAGAGTTGTATACACTGCATTGTAAAATGGAGCAGATTTATTTAATAAGCTGCTAAAAAGATCAGGTATTGCAGGTGATTTCTCAAATGAGTTTTTTTTCAGCAAAGTGATGTATGTAATTGTCCTTTAATCAGGGACTGCATGTGGCTTTGAATGGCATACCAGAGGCTGTACTTCCAACAGTAGAACAATAAATAATTTTATACAGTTAATATAGTTATTTCCAACATATTTAATAATGTTACCTTTTGGTTATGTTAAAAGATACAATCACAGACAATTTGAGAACAGGATTTGGGGGACTGCATGAAACCCTGGGGCTTTAGGTTGTGCACATCTTCTAACACAATCTATTTGGGTAGCACACTAGCGGTGAATGTAATGCTTTCATTGACATTTGCTTAAGTTCTTTGCAATAACCAGGTTGAGAAAAGTTTATAATATTATCTGCATAACTTACTTGAAGCGAGATGTTTGCTTGAGGGCGGATTTTGGCTGGTGGAAGCTCAACGTAGGAATCCTTCCCAACAAAATTGACGGTAATGAGTTTCTCACACTTCTGGCCAGCAAAACCTGCCAGGCAACGGCAGACTGGTTCCTGCTGCACGACAATGCACTGCGCTCCATTTTGGCATTCATAATAATCACAAGGACTGGTCTGGAGGAGAACCATGGGTGGTGGATTTTCACAGAAGAGTCCACTTTAAAAATAGAAAATGGTCAATGCCAATTTGAAACTCAAAAGCATTAGGCAGGAGTTTAACGATATGTGGTTCATATGGATCTCTTTAGCTGTTGTAGGATACTTAAAGGTGACAAATATTGGTCCAAATGTGAACATTTCCAATGTTCATATCAGTGCTTTAAGGGATTCCAAGAGGATATACATATGGAACAGCTATATCACAATGGACACCACCTGATTTTGAAGAAAAGATTTCACATTGATGAAGAAATGTTCTAAGGAAAATTGTGTGGCTAACACATTCATTTTATATGAAAGCAATAATAAAAATCATAACAACGTATAAGGAAATGTTACATATTAATAATTTCTTATATACTAACAGCCCTCTAATTCTCCTGTTTTCCTTGCAGTGGAAAACTTTCCATTCAGTTACATGACTTGACCAAACCAGTAAAGATAAAAAATAGTTCTTTAAAATAATAGTTACATCAAAAGATGCATCTTGATTATTTGACTGTGAAACATTCAGTTAAGATACAGCAGCTTCCTACTCCTTGTTGTTTCCAGATATATTGGGACTGTAACTCTTTAGACCATACAAATTGCCCATTATTCCCACTGTATCTGGAAGGCACCAGTTTAGAGAAGGTTTGAATGAATGTGATCTTTATAAGAAAAACAAAGGCAAAATTAAACTAATATTTCAAAATTAAACTAATTTTCAAAACTAAACTATGTATTTCAAATAGTTTCTTTAAAAATAAGGTAGTCCTGAAATAAAGTAAAATAAAATCCTATTTGGAATATTTTAAGTTTTCAATGGTTTCAAGTTTTCACTGTTAAGAAAGCATACAGCTCTTTCTTAACAGTGTTTCTTAAGCATGGGCTTTGCCATTACCACTCTTGTGTAGTTTAAAAATGCAACTTAATTTTTTATTTCTCTTTCCTGTAGCCATATTTTGCTTTTACTCTGATCAAAAACTGAAACCAGTGTCAAACATGAATTCGAGTCTTATTTTTTTCAGTGACATTTGCACTTTTTTTTTTAGGTGAGTAGCAAACCAGATTTGCCATGTACCTTGTGCTGACAATGTTGATATTTAAGAATAAATGGCTAGAGCAAGAGGTCTGAGTTAGGTCAGAAATGTTGCATGGGATGAGAGGGCCTTAAGCTGTTGGTGTTGCCACCAATCCAAAGGGATTCCCTAGATTATAACTGCAAGAGAAGGAAAGTTCTAATTTTAACCTTCAAGAAAAAGTATGATATATGTATGCCCCCACTGTGTTTGTGTGTGTGTTGGAAGAATTCCAGTGGAGACCACAGAGAGGTCATAGACTTTAAGCCCTTTCCCTTACTTCACCTTCCTGATCTGTCTTGTCTCCCTCATTTGTATTTTTTAAAAATTAACAATTCAATGGCAGCAGCAAACTATGGGTTAATGCCTCTACCTGCATTGTTGAATTAAGGTGTCATTTACCCATTACTGAGTTGGCAGAAAAGTACAACAGTGTAAAACTTGCTGCTACCTTGTCTTTTCCCTCTCCTGCCTCAATTTTCTTTGTTCCAAGTCACCATCAAATAGTGCTTCCTAATTATTCATGCATAGCACATGATAAACAAAGCAAGTAATTGAGTCCTCTGGCTTTGCTTTCTCTCTCTTTAGCATGTCATCAGCTGGCAGGGAAACAATCCACCAGTCATGGCACCAGAGCGGGAATGGACGGATCTACTTGAACTACTTTTCCCACCATCTCTAGGCTTGTACTTGTACTTCTTCAATGCCAAAGAATCTAGCACTATTACACAAATCTGGTAGACCACTGGCATAGCACTGCTGTATCTAGCTCTTTAGGGACACAGCAACCAAATGGGGACTGTCATGGCCAGCTTAGATTCAGAGGATTCTTACACTGAGGAGCCTACTCTGGATGTACAACATGAGTGTCAGCCTCAGGAACAAGTACACAATTTAGCACCTGAGGCTCACCTCATCAGCAATCATCAAGAACAGCTGCACCTCAGTCAGATGACTAGGCTCAGGATCCGAGGCAACTGCCCAGCCTTGGGCATGCCGTGCTCTGCACTGGGCAGAACAAAGGTGCTTTATGTGCCATCTTGCCAGGAAGGACTTTCACCTGGTGGAGGCTCTACTTATGAGCTGCCATTAGCTGACAAGACTCCGCTGAGAGCAACTGTTCTATCTGGATTTCATGAGCTCAAGCCTTGAATGTCTTGCATCCTGAAATTCTGTTTCTCTGAACCCGGACAGGCTGATGGTTTACCCACAACACATAGAACTTTGGACCATGATCTGTCAGTGCTTTCATTTGCTGCTTTTGACTCATCTTGCTTTGAACTTGTTTGCAGGCAACTTCTTGTGTGGTAACATTGGGACTTTGCTGAGATGTGCATATGTTTGCACACATGCTGTGCTTACTGCTGCCTGTACTTGCTTTATCAGAGGTAAAGCTGTAGCAACCTAACTTCTCTGTGTGTGTGTGTGCATGTAATTGGCCTGGAACAGGACAGGGCAAGACCAAGAACCAGGGAGGAAAGTTTTTGTGTGGTAACACTGGGACTTTGTTGAGATGTGACATTCTTCTCTTATGGCAGAACTACCTTGTTCATCTCATCATGTACAAAATAACTTTGGTGCTGCTGTTTATCACTAATATTGAGATAGATTTTGCAGTTTTTGCTGCTTCGTGGAATTGAGCAACATAGCAAGACAATTGCTATATGGCACATTGCCTTCAAACTCTAACTGAATGCTTTAACTAATGGATCCATTAACAAGAATGAGTCAAAGGCTTGATCTCCACATGATACTAAGCCAAGTTTGTTTAACTGCAGTTCAGTAAAGCAAAATTGGATGGATTCACACTAAGTCATAATACAAAGCTCTCCACATTTTGAACTAGTGGTCACAATAACACATTAGGGTTGTTCTTGCAAAATGTCTGCCGTGAAAAAAACACAGTTACAGAAACTTACTTGTCACTCTTCTTTAACTGCCCCAACTTCATGACACTCTCTGTTACCCTTGTTTACCTTTGCTCTTTTCCTAGACAGATGGGCACAATTCTAAACAGCACTGGACTGAAACCATCCATAGTTTTAATTTTTTTGACAAAGCTTCTTGGACCTGTTTAGTTCAATGAGAATTTTTGGAAATAAAGGTGCTATTGGAAGCTAGCACACCTCTTTGAAGCATTTCAACTTCCTATTTGTAAAATGTGGTAAATCCAGGTCTAGCAAGAAACGTGGAGGGAACTAAGGGGAATCTCTGTAGGCAAAGTGATGTGTCCTAGGTGCCATACTTAGAATGCATATCATCAGCCAGGATTCACAAAGTAAAATGGCTGAGGTCATCCAATATACTATATGAAAATAAAAAACAAAAAACAAAACAAAGATCACATTATGGCTTAATGCAGTATGTCACTCTAAGAAGAATGTGATAATGTACTACTAGAGGAGACTTTGGAATAATATTGACACTGTTTCATTCTCCTTTGCCTTAATGCTGTCACTTCTCTGAATTGCTTTCCCAGGCAGTTTTCCAGGCACTGATAGGCCAGTGGTGAACACTTCAATTAAAAAATGCACAATTACTAGATGAAATAAGTGCAAAGAACAACTGTGATCTTTTACAAAGAGGTTACTTGATTGTTCTTACTGTAAAATAATATTCTGAGCTGCTATGCTGATCCAATTTTTAAATCCTCCAACTGGGGCACATTAAACAGACAGTGGTGAAGTTGAGAAGAGAAGGACATTTATTTTTTCCCCTCCTTTTGTAGAGAAATCTATTAGTACACGTGGTCTTTGTTCCTAAATTCCTTTTTACAAAAACGTTCCAAAATTAGCAAATCAATTTGCATAGCATAATGAGCATTTCATTAACATATTCTGATCATTTAGAGCCATTACAATTTGGGAATGATTAATGCAATGAAAGTCACACCATTTCACTTGAAAGGTATAACACATATGTGTTTGCCAGTGATTCTATTATTTGTTGTAGTAAAGCCCCTTTTGACAAATTTGAAGCAATGTATGTGAATTTCAGTTGAGAATAGAAAATGTTTATGAAGGTTATCCAGGAAACCACTTTAAATTAAAAGGCAACACAAAATCAGGAGGAAACCTCTTCATATTCTGCAGAATTTATTTCCAGAACACTTAGAAATTCCTAAAGATTCCTGAACAGAATTCAGGAACACAGCCTAAATTATCTAGTCTATGGTTACTCAGATTTAGAAGAAACAATTGTCTGCTATGCCAGTGTGCCATATAAAAGAAAATAAAATGCATAGATGTCAGCCTAGAGAGATGCATTTTATTGCAAAAAGAAAATATAAACTAACTACCGGCAGCTGGGAGTAGGTACTCATGAGGCAACAAGTCATGGATAATTATAGCCAGATCTGAGGAGCACAAATTTTATCAGCCTATAATCTTTAATATTGTCTCCATACAATATTGTGAAACTGCACAGTATTGCTAATGCCAAAATGCAAAAAATAATCAGAACTACCAACCCTCAATAGCTGAAGGGCTTTGGTCCGAGACCATACTTTCCTGCGATCCACTGCAAACATATATCAAATGAATAAAGGACTCCTCTATCTGTATCAAATACATTCTGTATCAAAAGCCAGGCCTTTTAACAGTACAGGCAAAGGTGGATAGAGACAAGCTGAAATAAATCCCAAGATTCCCCATACCAATTTTAGTATGTTTAATGCTGTCATGGATTGATCTACCATTCTCTTCAAAGCCTATGTAAAATAAAAATTCAAAACTCTTTTTCAACATTCCTTACCCTTTGAAACCCAGCTATCTTCTCTTCTTGTATAAAACACATTTTAACACTTTTTGAAATGTATTAGCAACATTTTTTCATCTATGTCATGTTAGCCTGCCTGCATTGGATAGACTTGCTCCATCTGTCTACAGAAAAGCTGCTTGAGACAGTTTACAGCAAGGAGTTCCAACATAAAGTGCAA